GGCGAGGAGAGTTCGTTCCGAGCGGACGAAAATGGCGAGGAGTCGTTGCGGAAAAACGTACGGCGACCCTACGCAAATAAAATAATAAATGCGGTTAGGATAAGCAACCCTACCCGAAATAAAGATCCTCCTCCCACTAATTATAACAATAAGCGAAAAACGCGTAGAAATGTGGATAACATACCACAAATGACAACCATTTGTCTATTATACAGATCCGAGTACGCCAAAAGGATCGAGTACTTGCAAAAATTGCAAAACAAAATACTGAAGGTAGCCGATTCGTTACGGTACCTTACGCGAAATAGTCCACACCGAGAGCAAATATTCAGCTCGATTAACGACATAGAAAGTAAGATCAAAGCAAGAAAATTCGACGGAATTAGTAAAGTAGAGAACGAAATGTTGCAAAGGTTAGAGATGGTAATAAATAAGATCAAAGATAGGCTAAACGTTAAGACTTAAGAAGGTCAAAAGTAACGCAGAAAGCTCCAAATGCAATAACAATGACGTGAGTGTAGTTGCACGGGCTGTGCATGAAGCGACGAACATACCGCGGATTGTCAGCATAACCACCGTGCTGCCAGTGCGTCAGCGGACGGAAAGAGTAGGCGAGAAGACCATGGAAATGCCGGAAGAAAGGAATAAAAATAAAACCGCAACCGATAGACCGTCGAGATTAAGTAAGAAAATAGCTAGAGATAGGATCGCGAAAACCATAGTTGTAAGTAGCGACGAGGATAGTGAAATAAACGTTGTAAGCGTAGATAATAACCACAAATTAGAAAAATCGCAGAGTATATATTCCGCAGACACGATAATTTTCGATGCGATGACGACACCCGAAAAGGAGAAACCTGCGAAGAAAGAAGAAAGAAGATTAAAAAACAGCCGAAATAAAATACTTACCAGGACACCAAACGAGCAAGAAGAGGATAACCGTGTTCCTGAGGACCATAGAAAACGTGGAGAAAAGGTGGACCAAAATATCCGAGTTTCACCTGAAAAGGAAAAAATTAACATTAATACGCCAGTGCAAGTTGAGAACCACGATATAATGACGGAGATACCAACCAGGATGATTCCGTTCAAGAAGCAGAGTAAATGGCGTCAACTATTTCAAGAATTACAACGCGGAGAGATCCCGCGGATGAGGCATCACATTCAGCCAATAGACGTGCAAGAAGCGCGACTCATAGAAACACCGCCTTTAAGCGACACTCCAGTGCCACTACCTACTGTCGCGTCCTGCGGTGGGCGGGGTTGTTGAACAAAAGTGTCAGAACGCGGATAAATAGATTTAGGAATATTTGACTCTGGAAGTTGGGAGTTAGGGAATTATTCGCTAGGGGAAGTGACTTCTAGAGGTCGAAATAGTCCTGGGAAATGCAGACGACAGAAGCTGCTTCGTCTAAAT